AATAAAATTAATCATAATTGTTTATTTTTTAAATAGTATAGGTAATAACTAGCCTCCCCAAAGCATTTTTTTTCCTATTAAAATATTAAAATACTTTTTAAACTACATAAAAATATTTAACATATTTCATAAAGTACCCTACAAACTTTCAAACAAACACAAAATTTTTTGTCATAATACCTTATTTTACCTTCAACTTCTAAAAAATATTTAAATTGAAGTCTAAATTTTTTTGGTTTAAATCAACACTCAACTTTTGAAAATATTTAGATAGCACCCTTGACCAAAATTACCATTAGCGTTTAAAAATATTTATATTGCATTGATGACTAAAATTACCATTAACGTCATCATAGTGGTCATGTGTATTTGCTAACGTGTTTAAATAGACACCACGTAAATGTTATGTCATCAACATGTGGCTTCCACGTGAACCAACTCAAAACACATTTGTAAGGCTCGTGTCCTGTCTTCTGTGTTGACCACAAACTCGAAAGCTTTCATCACCATGACACATGAATTTTCTTTATGCTCTATCTCCCTTGTTTCCTACCTCTTTTCATGGCCACACCACACGAAATTGTAATAATTAATAAATTAGGCTAATAATTTATTCCTTCCTCCATGGCTTTCCTTCCCTTTACCCTCTTGCTCTATACTCCTTTAATGGAATCATGTATAGCTCCTAGTTAGCACCTCCAAGCTCATCTCATTACTTTGAAATGGCTTGTCCTTAAGCAATTTCCACCTTGATTTCATAGCATTTTCTTTAAATAGGAATGCAAAAAGATCCTTAAAAAGATGATCTCTTTGTAGCTTTTCAGGTTGTTGATGGTTATGAATGCAGTTCTATCTTCTACTATTGTTAGAGTTTATTTCGCCGATCGCCGAGCTCTCCATCCTCTCTTTGATTCCCATATGCATCGACATTGCAGTCGGGTTTTAGCTGCATCGACATCAGGTTTCTTAACGAAGCACGAACCTTACTTAACATTATTTCATTAGTAATTTTCTTCTTCAAGCTGCTAACTTTGACGCGGGAGGATATGAGGAGGACGAATTTACTCCTAAAATCTACTTAACATACGCAATACCAAAACAATAAACACTTAGAATTAAACATCTCCCTCTAATTGAATCTACAATCCTAATGAACAGTAAAAACACAGACTAAGGAAATAAAACAAGGAAAAGAAAAAGGTAACAGATTTACTAATAAGTTGATCCTCACTTTTTGGCTCAACAAGACTTTTGAAGACTTTTGATTCTCGAAAAATTTGAAGAAGCTAATTTTAACAAAAATGCTAAAAGAAGAAAAACCAAAACTCTAAAGAATTCTCTTATTCTCAAATGTGTGTTTTACATCCTATGGACAAAAGTTTATTTATAGTTTTTTCCGAACAATCTAGATAAGTACAAAAATCTTGAGATGATTAATAAAATAATAATATAGATAAAATTCTATCTTAATATAGGATAATTATATAATAAAAAAATTATTCTATCTTAAATAAATTAATTAAATAATCCTAAGGGATAGACTTTTATTAAAATAATAATTAATTTAAAATCCATATTTATCTCATGTGAAATCCATTTAAAACATATATAGACATTAATTTTAACACATGAATATTTTAAAAAGTGGGTCCCAAACCTTTTTAAAAGATTTTAAAATAATAAAATAAATAAATAAATATTTAAATAATTTAAAAAAAGAAAAAAGATAGGTTGGCCAGTTTGAGCTACTTTGATGGGCCGGGCTGGCCGGTCCCAGTGTATTGTGCAGGAGAAAGCCCGCGAGAGTCGCGGGCTGGCGGGCTTGGGTCATTTGGGTCATCGACTGGTTTGTCCATATGGGGTGCGCGCTCGGCCTCCTGCACCGCGACTGATTTTGTATGTGGGGCCCGCGATTCTTTTGGGCCGTACAGGCGAGGCTACTATCCGACCTGAACCTATATACGTGCCTTGCAGCGCACATGCACTTAATGCGCGCATGTGGGCCATTTTCCTCGAGTGTGGGCTGCCCATGGGTGCTTCATCCTTGGGTCGTGGCCTATCT